AAAAAAAAAAAAACACGGAACATAAAAGCTTTCTCTTACCCGAAAAGTTATCGAAAGCAGTCGGGACGTATTTGGTCGGGTATCCATTGGTCGTGTAGCTGACCACCAGGCTGGTCTTCCCCACCGCTCCGTCTCCGAGGAGGACGCACTTCAGCAGGCGCTCCTGCCCGGACCCCTGCCCCGGCCGGGCGGGCTGGGCTTTGTGCGGCGGCACCGGAGGGGCCACAATCCGTCCGTAATCCATCGCGTCTGCAGGTGACATTCAGTGCCCCGGCGCGAGGCAAAAAGCACCCAGCATGGGAGCCGATTCCTGTCCTCGCTACGACGGAGCCGGGAGTCGCTGCTGGTTCGGGACTCGGGGCGTCAAGAAGAAAAAAAGCTCTCCAGTCTCCCAGCGCGCCGTCAGATGAGCCACCGAGACGGCAGGACGCCGAACCATCACAGCAACTGTCTCACGCGCCGCAGCTCTCAGCTGCAGGGCGGGTCGCGTGCTCTTTATGTGGAGAGTCATTTGACTAATCCCACCCACCAGGGCCGGGCCCAGGGCGAAGGGGGGCCGAGGCACAAGTCCACCTGCAGTTAGCACTTTTAGCCACAAGCCACCAGTTTTTGCTTTTGTTTTTCTTTTGCACAATATAAACAACTTTGTTGGAGTTCCTCTAACATCACTGTTTGACCACCATATTGGCTTTATTTATTAAATTAAAAACGGAACAGTTTCCGGAAACAATTTTATGCCCACTGAGTCTCATTATTCAGTTTGCTTTTCCCACGGGGGGCTCTGCTACCCGCCTTACCTTTAGTATTTATTTTTCTTTATTGTTTTCACTTTAAAAGTTTGCCTCACTCATATGAGTAGTTTTGTCTCAAGCAGTAAACTGCAAGCTAGCGACACAACTGACGTGAGGTCACTGTTTTGTCTGGACCAGCCTGGTCTTCAGCGACATGCTACAAACCTCCTGGATGTCAATTCTCAACATGTCATATGAACTGAAACCTTGTTCTGACCCAGACTCCCCGGCCTACTTTAAAGCATCTGAGACTGTATAAAAAGGAACTGCCCACCAACTCATCCACGATCAAAACGGACTGGGCCTCTGATTGGCTCTTTTCAAACTGTCCAGGTGATCATGTTTCACCTCCTCGGATCTCAACACACAGAGAGGTTTGAGTTTAGAAGTAAAACATTTGGACCTCTGCTGCCACCTGCCGGATACAACATGTGCATCGCCCTGTTAGTGGTTTTCAAATTCACATTTTATACTTTCGGGCCACTGATTAACCTTGATACAACCTTTTGTTCAGGTTTTCTGTCAGATTATTTGCCACAAAACTGCAGTGTGGCGGCAAATAACCATCAAGACCTCTGCTAATCTTTTAGCTCCCCATTCAGATTAAAAGTTATGCTGCTCTGAATCAAACACTGCATGCTCCCATTCATCACTCCAAAGTGCTTGTAAGACTATAGAGACTGTGGAGCGTTGTGTGAAACCGTTTAAGTAAATCATTTGTAACACAATTGGGACTTCTCACAGTGAAATAAACAAAAATGAAGCCGGCTTTAAAATCAATTTGTAATCCGAGAAGTTCAACTAGAGCTGGAGTAGAACATGGTTGATTGGATTTATTTTGCCTCCATATACAGAGGAGGAGGATGTAAGGATGAGAATATATTATAGGGCTCAGTGTTTAGATGATAATTGCATATCAAAATATCTGTATTTATGGGATTCTTCTAAAATGTACAAAATGCAGCATACACAGTAAACGTCAGATATGTGGTTCTGTTCTGGGTGGTCTTTGCCTCTGGTCCTTTATCCTCAGGAATTCTGTATCTGCACATAAAAAAGCTGGGATGTCCAAGAAAAGTGCCACACCAGCAAATTTAATCTGCTTTAAACTGTCACTGTGATGAGAGATTGTTGAATTTCGGCTAAAACGGGTCTGACTCAGGCGCAGGTTTGTCCAATTATGTGACACATCTAACAGTTTCTGAGGATTTCCCCTTATGCAACATCTGAAAAAGTCAGACAAAGAGAGAGTTTCATGTGTTTATTCTTCAAAGGATAAAAGTCTGGTGATCCAGAATACAAAATAATTGGTGTACAACTACAATGCATACCATCATTGGTTTTAAAAGGACTAAATGTCACTTCAGGTTAGGACTTACAACCCTGTATCCAGAGGGGTTGAGACGCTGGGTGAAACGTAAAGTACAGAGCACAAGATGAAGACAATATTTTAATGTTTTAATTGTAGCAATAGATCAAGTGACTGAACCAGGACGTATTAAGAGTTGCTTTGGGAGAAATGCTCATTTTAATTCCAGAAACACAAACATGTTTATAGGCATAATCGCAGAAAAACCATTGTCAGTAAACCTGGCTTGTACTAATTTTATGCACAGGAGCTGATATTAATTCATCCAGAGAAAAGTGTTAGGAAAGACGCTGAGGCAAAGTGGAAAACCAAGTCTTAATTATTCTTTGTGTTTAATGCTAACATCTAAAAAGCTAGCAGAAAGGCAATGTAGTGGGGGAAGATGGTAGAGGCTGAATTTGATCATATTATAACTACACTTTTTTATGTAATTTGTTGAGATTTTATGTGAGAGACCAATGCGAAGCAATCTATAATATGTGAAAGAAAACAAAAAACATCATAGAGACCAAGGAGCACGGCAGGCAGGTCAGGGACAAAGGTGAGGAGGCTCTTTAATCAGGTTTAGCTTACCAAATAAGCTTTGCGCTTTTCTCTTACGATGCGCTATTTAGCTCAGCGACTGAAAAATGTAAAGAGAATGACACGACTGCAAAGCCATCAAAACATGGAGGTCACTCACAGGTCAGACAAGGAGAAAATTAATCAGAAGCAGCCATGATAACTTTGGGCCTCAGCTCTCGCGGGAAAATCTGTTAACGGAAAAGTTGTCCTTGTTTCCCTCATCCTTAAGATGGAAGCTGCTGAGTGTTGATAACAGTGATAAATACAAAAGACTTTCAGTAAATGTCATATTAGACTGCAAAACACTGTAATGCTGGGGCAGATGTTCACCTTCTGTCTCCAAACATATAGCCAGAGCCATAACAAAACAGTTGAGATCAAAAAAATCGCCACACGTTCAAACCAGTGGAGAATCTGTAGCAAACTACGGTTCACAGATACTCTATCCATTCAAACTGGGCTTGAGCTGTTCTGTGTTGGTCTATTTCATAAAATCCCAATCAAACGTTGAAGTTTCTGATTGCAGCTTGGCAAAAATGTGAGTAGGTTCAGCAGATATAAATGATTTTGCAAGGCACCATACATCCAAACGCCATTGCAGAGGAACACATTGAACACATTTTGAAATAATGCTGCAATAATCCTAACTCGAAGCCCAAAACACAAAAGAAAAGATGAGTTTTCAGCTACTGAGGGTCATTTATAGGCATCAGCATGTCTGAGGCTTACAGGCCATCATACTGGAGTTTACATCTGCTGACACGTCTTTGCTTCTCTTTAGGATGCATGAGCTGGATAACAGTAAGGCATGGGAGTAATGTGACGCTTTGAAGCATTAGCTGAAAGAAAGTTTAGATTTATATAGCTGAGCATCCTGAATACTTTTGAGAGTCCTGAAACTGATTTTGTTACAATTTCGTTTAAGATTTAAGATTCCGCGTACACAAGTGTATATATAATAAGGTAATCGCACAAAACAGCATTCTGTGTGAGTTGATGGTCAGAGACATGGTTGCTGTAAGTACTGTGATGATATCATGCACCTGCGGTCAAAAAGGCACCTGCTGTATGTCGCTTGCTCAACTTTTCAGAGTTCATCAACATCTGGAGAAGAGCACAATAAGAGCACTGGGAGGACTGTTTAAAATCTTAAACCCTTCACTAAACAAACACACAGCAACTAAAACATCACGTCAGAACTTGTGAGAACATGATTTTGCTTCCACTGCAGGTGCATCGCATTGAGCAAAATTATTGCAAATCTCATCTGTCTTTCTGCTTTCTCGCTGCACCTAGACAGGGCGAAGCAAAAAACCAAAGTCCCAGAAGAAGTGTAAAGGAAAGAGAATGACAGCTGGGGTGACAACAAACAGTACATTTTAGAAATAAAGAAGAAATTTGTTTTAGTTGGGGTCAACAGATTCATATTCAGTAAATTTGTCAGAGCAGACGCACACATTCAAATCAATACACTGGCATTCATGCAGATAAACAGTTGTGAGGATGAAAATGTATCTGAAAGAAGAAGAAGAAGTAGATGTGGTCATTTTATGCTGCCATGATGATCCCTGTTTTTGTTCTCTCAAATACGTTAAATCACCTGACTCATCAAGTCGGGGTGAGAAATTCCCACTCGTGTTCTTTTGCACATTAGTACAAGAGCTCTAAGATGCTCATCGAATTTCCTTTGTAACACAAAAACACTCTTACTTCACCTTAAGAGCGTCTGAGAGCCATCTTCTAACCTCTAGAAATGAGACACAGTCTTAGTACACAGAACATCACTGCTCTTTTCTTCAGGTTCCCAGTTTCTGCAGCGCCATCTGCTGGAGGTCTAAGGGACAGACTGCTGAGTAAGACATTGAGTGGCAATTGCAACTCTGGTAGCTTCTCCTAAATGTCCTTAAGACTTTACTGGGTTTTAGGCTTGGCACCACCAGGAGTTGTATCAAGAGGAGGGCCGCCGCCTTGGGCAAGTCTTCGCAGACTGAGAGAGAGAGGAGAGATTAGTGCTCCTGCAATCACAGCCTGCTTAAAAAACACAATAATGCAACTTTAGCTCTACAGACTGATGTCAAAATGGTTCCCCCACAGAGCTTTGTTCCGGTCACATTTAGCTTTTCAAGAGCATCAAAGTAAATGCAATATCTGATAAAGATAACCTATGCAAAGACAAACCACAGCTTTAAAGAGAGACTATTAGATGAAAAAAGTTATTCTTTTTTTGTTAAATTATTAATTTGCTGTTATTGACCTAATTCTATTTGGGAAAAAACAAATAACTCAGTGACTTTACTAGCGTGTCTGGACAATACCAGAATCAAGAAACTACTTAACTAGAACCTGTCTGACAACATGAAGTAGGCTGAAGGATGTGAAAAAAAAACAAACAAAAACCCATGCCTTTGATCTGGAGACATTCAAGACGATTAGAAATAACGTAATTGATTTCTATCAAGCTGGAAATTGTTGCAAAGCCATTTGTAGCCGTTTGGGACTCCAGTGAACATGGTGAGCGTAATTACAGAGAAAACGTGGCTTTTAGTTAGAGACTGTCTAAAAATGACATCCAATGATTTCCACAAAAGAAATGCACAGCTGCTCAAAATGCACGCAGATGTCTTCACATTTCCCTCAAAAACCCTTGCTATTCACCCAGACGTCTGGAAAGGTATTCTATGGACTGATGAGAAACATTGTGTAAGTATGGACAATATCACCAAGTCTATTTAATGGTTTATCTATACGAACATTCAATAAAATAAAGCAAAACATCTAAAGTTCAAGTATTTTTGTGGGAAATCCTTCCCTCTCTCCCCAATTTGAAAAACAAGTGTGTCTTTAAGCTTTACTGTGAACTGCATTCATACAGAAACAGTTGTGTGGCTGTGTTAGAAGCAATTGAGGATCAAAAGATGGCGCCATACTCACAAGTCCTTCACGCTGTCAATTTGGGCCTGAATTTTTCCAATAAAGCCATCCACTTGCTCCTATAATATCGCAGTTTGCACAAGAAAATTATAAATCTGTTGTGTTGAAACTGATATTGATGTTGTTGTATGAAAAATGTATTACCTGCCGTCTTTCGTAGAAAAGGGGTAAAGAAAAGAGAGCAATCACACCTGAGAGGAAAGGAAGAAACAGTTGATTCGTGAGCCGCAGGGTTTTTTGATACATCTTACGTCTCTAGTGAGGATTTCAGTTTCTTACTGATGATGAGGATGGTGAGGCCATTGCAAAGGCCTCCCAGATATGTGACAAGGTACATCAGAAACAGGAACTAGAGATTTAAGAAAGACAAAACCGAATAAAAAAATAAATAACTGAAGATATTTCATGTAACTTCCATCAAGGATATGCAAATAGGTTTAGCTAACATGCTTTTAAACTGACTTCTAGTTTCAGAACGTCATCCAACTTTCTCCAGTCTGGCCTGTTTCTTCCATAATGCTTTGTTCACAGTATCTAGTGGCTGTCAGTTTCTCAGTCTTGGTTACAGGATCCAGTTCATCGGATACGGGACAACCCCGTCTCACATGGAAAAAGACTCCATTTTATTCTGGGAGTCTCTGTGTGCTGACTGGTGTGTGTCATTTAGCATACCAGCAGGGTCACAGTTGGCCAGCAGGTTCTGGGATTAATGGGCTCAACCAACTCTCATGGACTGTCATTTGCTATAAATATTTCTATTCTGTCCTAAATTAATGACTAAAATTAGAAAACGAGGTGTTCACTTTCTACCACAGTAAAGGTGAATCCAAAAGGGATCATTTTGGTCATATTTTAGAGCCAAAACTTAAAATGTCTGTTGGAAAATGTATGGACAATAAAACATCTCAACATGTAAGTACCGCTAAAAACAGCTTTTTTCAGAAATTAAAAAAAGTAGCTTTCAAGATTGCATTACATAAAACCTAGAAATACTTCATCCTTTGTGAAATAAATCTTTATAATAAAGATCTTTTGTTTATTGAAGTGTGGCAAAAAAAAAGGTAAAATTTTTCTACAATATAATTTTTTTAAGCAATATGTGTGAATAAAAATACTATTCTCAAGCAAAAAATCCACATTTCAATGTCGTGCTTTTTGTGAAATGGTGCAGTCTTCGTAAGTGTAAAACATGGAACAGGTTACATGGAGAATGTTATCAGATTTTAGTTTTACAGCTCACTGCAATAGAATAAAGTATTTCCGTTCTAAAGTTGTCAGCAAAAATAAGGATGGTGACATTGTGCATCGTTTTGTCAAAAATGGTTATCTATGACGACGGCCACAAAAGGGCCTTTTAAATTCCTGAGTGAGGTTTCCAACTTAGTTTTCCTCTTAGACAACACTTCTCCTGTCTTATTAAGTTGCTACATTACAAACTCAGCCTTGAGGCGAGTTTGTAACTACACTACATCATTCCTCCTCCAGTGTTGTGTTGTTAATGGCAGTTAGCTCGTCCTTAAGTGAGGTTGTCAATCAGGCTTGGCTACAAGTTCAGCTACAAGGTCCTATCATCCTGACAGGTATGTGATAGGTGGTGAGATTCGAGGTAGTAACTAGGAAGGAAGTTACGCCAACATGCTTCCCTTACTGAAACAAATGGAATCAGTAAACAAGAGACCTGTACAGAACAATACCAATCAAATACTAAATACTAAAAATATTAATGGGTAACAAAATTAACTCTAGTCATTCAAAAATATTCTAAAAAGAATAATCAAAGCTTATCATATTGAAGTAGCTGTAAATAAGAGGCAGTCAAGATTATGAGACCATACTTTACCAGTGAATATATGACACAAAAATAATTGCAGACAATGTGCTTCTAATACCGTTTAATTTGATTGTGCCGGATCATTCACTAAAATGATTATATCATAAAAGACGACAGCTGCTATCTTTGTTTGAATATTCATAACAATGCTGTGACCAGGGAACCATTGTAGCTGGAATGATGGAGTATGACTGATAATAAGAGCGAAATGACAGAACACGAAGCCGTTGTTTAGGTTAATGAGTCCTAGAGGTTCAAGCAAAGCAAAACAACACGGGTTCATTAAAGTAGTTCCTCGTACTAAAAGGCTAAACAGCCACGCACAAACAACGGCCGACATAAACAAAACTACATAGACAAATAGAGTGAATGTAATTAAATCGGCATGCTTAGCTTACCTTGAGGGATTCAAAAAGATTTTCTACAAAAAACAGCCTCCTCAGGGCATCAACAGCAGACAGAGCCAGAACAATGGCTTTTTGCATGTAGATGTCAGCCTGCTCTCCCCTTAAACTGATGTCAAGATCCAAGTATGATCTGATAGAAACACACACTCATTAAGCCAATAAATTAACTCAAATTTAATTAAAATACTGATATGTTGAGCTAATTGTTAAGGAGGCAGTTTAGGCCTCAAGAGTCTTCAGTCAACTCAATATCACTGTAAAAATAATTCATTAACAAAGCTCAGTTGTAATATAGACAGTAAATATTTATTATGCAGAATCCTGCCTGTTTTAGGTGCAATAAAAAAAAAGATAAATAAGTTTCTGCACATTGTTTTACATACAGTGGCACGTTTAAAACATGATTCCAGGATATCAGTTTTTCCTTTGTGTCTCAATATTTGATCCAGTGGAAAACTCAGGGAAATAATCTGAGTATTAAAACTGCATGAACGTTTCAAGGAAATCATCTTACTTGAAAGGATGTTCTCCGTCCCCCCAGCTGAGGACGTGGAGAAACAGGTAGTAGATGCGTACAGAGATGGTGAAGCACATGACTGCCAGGGAGACGGTGGAGACCACAGAGATGATGCTGAGCTGGAACAGGGAAAGTAAGCCCACCACCAAGGCTGTGAGCACCATGCCACTTCTCTCTGTGTCCTTCCAGTAGATGAGGTCCATTACTGGTAGACAGGTAATTAAAACGATTGTCAAAGAAATGACAGTTGACAGACAAAAGTGGTTCTGTACTCTAAATGCCATCAAACATTTTAGTGTAATTACATTTTGAAATTATGTATGAGGTCAGAATACAGATAAATTGTCAAACCTAAGAACCTCTAATACCCAGCGTTGTCCATAAAATATGACAAAATATTTTGTGATCTTTCATTTCTGTGTCTTAAAATTGGTGTACTCAGACAGAGGAGCAGGAAAATAAATATTACTGAGAAGAAAGAATAAGGAGGGAAAAACATGAAGGAAAAAAAAAGGTATTTTCGTCATCAAGCCTTAGATAGCACCCAGCAGCTACAGGCTCAAGCCTTGGCTGAATTTAGCCTTCAGAGAAAAAAAAGCCAGCAGTTGAAGGGAATTTAAATTCCCACCACCTGTTGTCACATGTCAGGCTGTCTGCACCCGATGATCTGATCCCTGATGGTTTCATTGTCTGCCAGGAACCGATGGATCACACATCTCCATTATATACAGTTTCAACTTTAACTGTTTGGTCTCTGTTTATTTCACATTAAAGCAAATTTGCCTTGTTTTAGTCTTGGGAGGTTAAATATAACAAACTGGGTCCTGTTTGAGATTTGAACCCCCGGGACCGCTCACACTGCTCGAGACAATTATATCCAAGTTCTGTGCAAAAGCCTTGAGCTAAGGCTTCTTTTCTTTATAATTTGCTTCCAGTAAGGCAAATTTTAATTTAACAATTAAGAGTGACCTTGATCAATGATTCCTCAGGCTTTCTGAAAGGCTGCTGCAGTTTTTCATTGAACTTTAGCTGCTTTTCCTGTCCCTGTGGGGGATTTTTTTTTTCAACCTAGGTTGATTTTTTTTTTTAACCTAGGTTGAAAATTATTTATTTCAACCTCCGAAATAAATAATTCAAGTTTCTTGCAGTTTAGGGATTTACATTCATGGATATTAAGGAGCTTAGAAAACATACTATTCAAATTTACATACTCAGGGTTTTCCATATACATATACACACACAACCAACTATAAGAGGGATTTTATGCGGTAGTGTGTTGTGTAAACATAGACTAATTACTCATGGAAGCCTCTTTGAAGAGAGAGCATTGTCAGTGGGTGGGTTATTTATAACACCCCAATTTATTCCCACAACATCCCTGCAATAGTCCCACTAGCTGTCATTCTGGGCGGTGCTCCACACACCGACAAGCAGATCTAATTTACATCTAAACTCATACACTAATGAGGAAGCAGCACAATTAAAAATAAGCATATCTGTGGTAAACAAGTTTTCCACAAAACGAAAAAGTAGCACTGTAGAGCAATAATTTAAAAAGAAGGAGGCAGGATGGGAAAGTCCCAATGACCAAAAATAACTCAAAGGTTTGTATCTCATTCTCTAAAAAAAACATCATGAGTAATCGATGGAACTAGAGAATCCTGTAGAAGAATGTCTTGCAATCAATTTGTGACCTAAGAGCTCAGGTTCGCTTGGATTATGCAGATTGACAATAATCTGCGACATCACCTCTGAACGACTCCCAAAAGGAGGGGAAATTTTGGTTGGGCCAAACGTGCAACAGAAATCAGAAGAGATCTGTGATAGGGGAAGATGCTTTTTGATGGCAGGTCCTTTAAAACATGTGTGAGTAGACTAACAGGGACATGCAGGTAAAAAATAAATATATATAGCAAATGAAAACATGACAAATGTGAACTAGAATATCACATCAATTAAACCAATTAAAAATAACATTTTGCACAGAAATGTGAGCTTAATGAAAACTATTGTTAAAACCTAATTAAAGGTCATTAATTTAAAAGGAATGTTTAATCTGATCAAACAAGCCTCAGTGGAACGCATATTTAAATTTATTTAATATGACTGTAATTATACTATTGTGTCTGCTTGCCTGAAGGAAGCAAATAAAAGGAAAATAGTTGCAACCAGAAACCAATAAAGAAATAGTCAGTATAACAATGTGAACAAAGAGGCTAAAGGAGTATATTTTTACTTCAAAGCAATGTTTATTCAAAGCAACTACATATTAATTTATTCTCACTCAGGTCATGTCCGCCTGTTCACTAGTCCACTGAAATGTCTGTGCATGGCCCAGCTGTTCAGCCTAAAGCGCTAAAATCAAGCCAGCCAGGAGACAGCTGTCTAATACCACAACAGCACCGTTTTAACTCATTTCAATGGCAAACACTGATTTGAATTGAAGCCACTGGTAGCGGCTAGTGATCCTGAGCAGCTCATCAGCCTAAAGTCAGACGCACCTGTAGCTTGTCTTATTCTGTTTCAAAGGAACTGGCCCGTAAACTGATCTAAGGGAGATCTCTGCTTCTTTCAACTACCTTTTCTTTTGTTTTATATTAACTTAAATCAAATTGATTTTTGGCTTAACACTTCAAACCCTGCACTTTAACTATACAGGTCTAAAAAATTAGAATTTCTTTAAAATGTCTCACCTTTACTGGCCATGTTTGGTCGCTGTTCCAGTCTCTCCCTCTCCTAACTCCCCCTGTCTCTCCCACTGAACGAGCTCCCTTCTCCTCCCTGAGCTGTTTTTGGCCGTCCAATGCTCACTCAGCGCTGCAAAGGCCTAACAGCCCAAAATAATCTGCTGCTCCACAGAATTGCCCTCCACTATTCAAGCCTCCCTGCCAGAGAATAGAGTTAATTTTTTTTTTCACTGTTTTGAAATTGATCAGCTTTTAAAGCAAAGTCCAATGAGAAGAAATAATAATTGCCGTTTAGTTGTCATTTACCAGAGCAGAGTTAATTCTGTTATTTTTTTAAAGCCAAAGTTTGTTTCTCTCTATATTTGCATTTTCTTTTTAAAGAAATCTTCCAAAATATGTTCTTGAAAGTCTCATAATCAGACAGTTTTGAATCTGGATTGAAATCAAGTAGTGATTTTTTTGACTTACATTTCTAACAAGTTGTTTTTCTTTATTTTATTACCTTTATTCTCAATTTCAGAAATCATCGTTTTATGTACATTGCTTTGGGACTTTTTTTTCCTGTAAAAATGTTAAATTAGTACATTTTACTTAAACTTGGTTTAATTGCTCAGAATAGGGACCCCGAAGAAGTAATTAGGAATGCATGTTACATGTATATTGATAATTAAAAGCACGAGCTTTTTATATATAACATCCTAATTTCTTGGTATATAGCATCAAAATTACAGAGACCCATTCAAATAAGGCAGGTGTATAAGGAATTAGCTCTAAACACTTACATTTTCACATATATGCTATTTAATACTCAACTTAATTAAATTTATATACATGGTAAATTTAGCAAATCAGTATTAAAAACACTTTATGACCAAAATAAAAAGTCAAAGTAGCGAAACTTTTTTTTTAATTATTCAAGATTTTTTGATTTTTCCACTCAGCAATTGTTTCAAACATACATTCAGATGTGATATTTGGTACCTGAAGTAAACAGAATAAAAAGAAGGACAATTCTCATGTGGACACTCTGCATGTGTCCTATTTATTTGAGACTACACTACACTAGGTCTGTTATCTGTCCGACCACAAAATTACCAGCGGGCTTTAAATCCCTCCCTCACCTAAAATGAGTCCTTGTCTTGACCACTGCAATGGTCCACTTGAGAACCCATCAAGCACGATGACTGAATCTTATCTCTAAGGATCCCCTTCTCTGCCCCACTCACTCAAGAACTTCCAACTTGCACCAACCAATCTGCATACAAAGAAACTGCACACACACTCGCCCTAGATTCTGAGACAGACGACACACACCGATAGCGGTTTCATTGGTGTGCCTGCCTGAAAAAGCCCGCTAAAGCCTGGAATGTTTCCCCTGCAATCAGCCCGTCATTCCTGAGACCTCGAGAGAGTTGGTTACTCTGGAGACAGTGGACAGCCAGCATCTCTTGCCCGTCTGCCCCTGAAGGCCGAGAGGGAAATCTGAGTGTGTCTTTGATTGGGAGCTGCGAGGAAGAATCTGAGCAAAATAACGTAAAATACAGAAGATCTGGAAGACATGGAAAAATAAAAAAATGTTAGTAAAACGTGGTGATGTAATCCTGTACCTGCTATGTGGATGCATACGGTCAGATCCTCAGCGAGGTCCGGTGCTGAAAACCAGTGATCTCTGAGCAGCTGTTCCTGAGAGTTGAGGCCTGCGGAGGCCACAGACGAGCGCGCTGGGTCTGTGGGTCGCACAGAGGTGAGCAGCTTGACTGAAATGGTTTCCAGGGTGGCGGGTGACTCAGGCTCGGAGGCTGGTGAATCCTCTGCTGCTGGGAAACAGAAGCTGATGTCACCATGGTGGTAAAGTAAATAAATTACAGGCATCGTTACAAAAAGGCAGCTCTTTCTTTGTGTCTCCTAAACTAAGAAGAATCAGCTGATCTGTTGTGTGACATCGTCTCCAGTAACGAGAAAATCTCACAAATCTGATGATGTAATGTCTTACACCAATCACCAGAACGGGGAAGAAAGAACATTTGAGTGACTATGAAGGGGGAATGAAACTTTGGCTACAATACACACAAGCTTATCAAAACTGAACAACAACTGTTTGAACAATTGGAGCTTTGATTTGATGTATAACAATCAGACGGTGTGGTCTCGCATCTAAAGCATTGACCCTTGCCTTCTATCAATGGTGCAGCATAGAGGTGGAAGTGTAATGGTCTATGCATACTTTTGGCTTCTTTGTAGCAATTCAACTTCATCGTAATGCAGCAGCCTGCTTGAATGTTGTATCTGAACATACTTAATCAATTACGACCACAGTCTACCCGTCTTCTCATGACTGCTCCCAATAGGATGGTGCGTCATGGCATAAAGCGCGGGTCTTTAACGGTTTTTAAACATGATGTTTTGAAGGTCACTGAAAACCAATGGCCTCTTCAGTCAACTAATTTCAATGGAAAAGAGCATCTCTGGGAAGGGATGGAGTAAGATATTTTCAGCATAGAAGTTGATGTCAATGTGGACCAAAACACTTTTTTGAATCTATACCATAAAACATTAAGACGGTTCTTAGCGTAAACAGGGGGTCCAACCTCGTATGAGTAAGGTGTGCCTAATAAAGTGGCCAGTGAGTGTGTTGGTATGTAAAAAATAACAAGCATTCAATTCATGTGACACCTGGCTTGATATTATACTCTGCTTGTCTGTGCCACATGAAATGAAGAACCCCTTGAAGAAAAAGGTCATCGAGTGTCAAACTTTATAATTAGCTCCGGGTTCATGAACGTTTGATACTAATGGCTGCAGACAGGAGGGATGAGCTGAACGCTGACAGCACACACAGCATTTGTATATGTTGAGTTTCTCAAAACAACAACAAAAACAAAACATAAAATATTTCTTTAAATAATTTTTAAAAGGTTGAAAGATGAATTGGGGAAATAATTTATGCATCTGATGATCAAAGACACATCCAAGTTTTTACGGCTTGTACTTCTTACCCTGAGCTCTCTGTGAGAAACTGTGTTGCTGGATCTCAGAAGTTCGTTGACCAATCTGACTTGCGCTCTCTTCTCGTCCATCTGTCCTTTCACTTTCTGAGTCCAGCGTTTCAGGAGCGGGCTGCACTGTAAGAGTTTCCCTTTGTTCTCCTTCCCTTCTTCCCAAAGGGCTTGCTGTCCTTGGTTCCTCTGTCTCTGATGTTGTCTCTTCTTCATCTTGATTGAGAAACCCCTGTGGCTCCCAGTCCACATCAGGGGAGTCTAACAGCATTTCCAGCGTGTCAGTTCGAATCAAAGGCGTGCGTCCCGGCCGGGGGACGCCCCTGCGTCGCTCGCGATGGTGGCGTGAGCTCCCAACCGCTTCGGCCTCTGCGATGGCGATGTAAGAGAAGGTCAGCTCGAAGGAGTGCTGGCGAGGAGTCCCCCAGATGGACGGGGAGGAAGCTTGTCCTTCGTCGTCGTCCGGATCCCCTGTCTCCACTTCCTCATCGTCATCATCGGACCACTCTCTGGCTGTTTGCAGGTCGCACATCTCTGACTCCTCGTTGCCGCCTGGATACAAATCAAGACAGCCGGTCACTGATTTACAAAGACAAAGATGAAAATGTCTTCAAGTAGTCCTAACACTAAGCAGTTTATTTGATCAGCAAGAGCTGTTTCTGTTTTTTTTCTGACAGATGAAAGGTAGAAATAGATGAAGTTTTCAGATTAAACTTGTTTTGATGTTGCTATCAAAGTAACTGGTAATTGCGCCATTGTTATTGTGACATGTGAATAAAAACTAGATGAGGTACAGAGGAGAAGTGAGAGCTTTTTACCATCGGTGCATGGAGGTGTTGAATCTGGGGTGGATGCCACAGAGCCATATTCCTCTGGAAGAAAGCAGTTGCATATTACATCAACAAGCAGCTTCAGTTATTACAGCTAGAAACTAGAGATCAGGCCCAAAATCTGGGAGGAGTGGTGGACTCAGACCTGGACATCCAGAGACATATAAAAACTGTTATAAAGTCAGCCTTCTATCACTTAAAGAACATTTCTAGCAAAATCCTGTTCTCACTAAAACTAGTTAGATGCCAGCATCATCCCAGTTCTAAAGTCTACACTGACTCCCTGTAGCTCAGACAATAGACTTTAAAATACTCTTGCTAGTTTATAAATCACTGAACAGCTTCGCACCAAAATACATTAAAGATCTAATGTTGTATCAACCTTCCAGGCCTCTGAGGTCTTCTGGTTCCGGTCTGCTCTGCATCACCAGAACCAGAACCAAACATGGAGAAGCAGCATTCAGTTTCACCTGGAACAAACTTGCAGCAAGCTAAAAAACATTCAAAACACTGAGTTCCTTTAAATCCTAAAATAGAGTTGCCTTTGATTCATAACGCTACCACCGTAATCACAACATTTTATATATATTCGCTTGATTATATCAAGCGAATATATATTAGCACTTAAACTCTGATGTAATTAATTGTCGTTCCGTTTTTTTTTTTTCTGTTTGAACTGCCTTGTTACTGAAATGTGCTACACAAATAAACTTGTCTTAAGATGTAGAAAAAAAAGATCTCAAGATAAACTGTTCCATTATATTGCTCAGCACAGATGTACTGCAGATGAGCAGGAACACACAAAGCCCATAAACACTGCAGTACCACACAAGAACTAACTGTAAGAGCTTTATAATTCTTTCCTTGCCTGCATTTCACATGAAAAGATGCTGCTAAAGCTAACAAATATTAATGCTGATAGAAAATATCAGACTAAGGGAACACAGAGTGTTCATCTGTCCTTAGTGCATACTGTAGGTCATTGAATATTGAGTGGTTCTGGCAGAAGTAAAAGGCTTTCACTGCATTAGATTGCCAGCATGACACCAGTGTATAAATCAAGCAGGCAGCCATTGCACTGAATGCAGCATATTCTGTGCAGCAGCAGTGTGAGGATAGGAAAATACTCGGCTACTGTAACTTAGCTTTGGATCAGATTGGGGGAGACAAAAATTCAAATCACAAGAGAAGCATTCAGGAAGGAATAATTTACGATCCGAACATGACTCCATGCACAGGCTTTCTGCACACAACCTGCAAACTGAGACATGAAAACAATAAGAGTGTGCCTCTGCACTGCAACGATCCATTTATTGTTTATTCAAGGTAAAAGCAGGAGAGAGCGCGACAGGATGAGCTAACACATGCGATGATGTGAGAAAAAGATGCAGAGGTGGGTTATGCACATCTACGAGATCGCCGCTGTGCAAGCACGCACAGAAACAAACACAGGCAAGACTTACGGCAGTGGGAGAATCCTAAAACCTGGCCCATACTCCATCAAGGCATTGCTGGGCCCATCCAGTCTGGAAGCCCCCCTCCCTCATCCACTGCCGGCACTCACGTTGTGTGGATTCGCTCTCTTCATCTGTCTCCTGTGAAAGCAGCTTCTTCCCTCCCCTGCCTCTGTTACTCAGCAACCCCGCCCTGCCTCACTCCGCTCCAACATCCTCTCCTCTGCCGCCTCCACTCGTCATCTAATTTTGCATTGTTGTGACTGCAGCCGTAGGAACGTACGCTACAGGAAAGGGAGAGGAGCGTGAACGCCTGTTGTCATCTTTTCATTCACAGCCAGTCTATGCCTATCTGCTTCTCGTCACGTGGTCCCAGCTTTAGGAGCAGGAGACAGGGAGGAGACGGGGAGGGATAAGTCATTAATAATGCAGCACACACGCAGATAATGATGCAGGCTTCATCATAATGCAAAAATAAACCTGC